ATTTAATTGTGAAATTTAGCTTCAGCATTATCAGATAGACATCTGCGAAAAATGTTTTTCCCTAATGGCTTGTAGTCTATCAATAAGAATTCAAAAGTTATTAAATAATGTTCAGATAGAAAAGGATTTGTAGGAAGACTATTAAATGTTCAATATCAATGCCATATGATAGAACAAGGTCCAGTGTGATTAAAACAATGAGTGGGTTTTTTTTACACTCTGACAGAAGCCAATTGTTGAGTTAAAACTAGGGATGGCTATGAAATGCAACTGACTTTCATGGTGAAGCTGGTCCAGGGGGCAACTAAAAGCCTAGAAGTGTGGGAGATGTGGATTCCAGCAACAGAAAAAGCTGATCTAGAAGGCCGGGTGAAGGATTTAAAAGCAGCCAGGAACAAGCTTAGAGCAAGAAGAGGAGAGTTTGTCATGGCACAAAGTATTACATAGGAGGAAAGTGCATCAGTGGCAGCAGCGACAAACATGGTGGCCACTTTAGCAGCACAGACCACACCCATTGTGAGGATAAAGTCGACAAGTCTGCCCAAATTTCATGGCTGTAAAAGAAATTTCAACAGATGGAGGAAAGACAGGGAAAGCCTGCAAAAGCAGGGGAACTGGCTCTGTGGAAGTGAAAAGATGCAACTTTTGGACAGTGTGGATGAAAAAATCTGTACAACCAGGGTTTCACAACTGTGCTGAAGACATGTCCAGAGTGCTGGAGAATAGGTTTGGAAATAAGTCCACAATTGCCTTAGAAATAATTTAAGAACTGCATAAGATTCCCATCTTGAGAGCACATCCACCAAGAAAGGCAGACATCACGGAGCTCGGAAACATAGGTGCCTTCAAGAACCCGCTGGTAACCAAGTCCATAGAAAGCAAGCTACCTAACACCATAAAGAAAGACTGGTTTGCCTTCATGACCGACCCCATGAAAATGAGAGTAGGCCAAGACCTCCAGGAGGGAGAAGTAAGAGAAAAGGCTCCTAATCAGCTAACCAGAAGAGAACTACTAAGCCAAGTAGCTGGTCTCTATGACCCAATTGGCCTAATCACATCTGTTAAACAGAAAGGAGCCATACTTGTCAGGAGAGCATTCCAGGAGGCTGGAGGAGGAAGTCTGACCTGAGACACTTGGGACAAACCGCTTTCTGATAGCCTAAGGGAGGAAGCAATCAAGCTGTTTGAAGAGTATGTGCGTCTTGGCCAAGTCACCTTCCACAGAAGCCTCACACAGCTGACTGGGTTGGAAAACCCTGTGGAATAACATTCTCTGATGGAAGTGACAAAAACTAGGGTGCTGTGGTGTACTTCAGAGACCGAGCAAGGCATCAAGGTCAGACTGGTTGAATCCAAGGCAAAGCTTACACCACTAGATCAAAAAGGGGAACCTGTTAAAGCAGAAACCTGTGGTGTAGTCTTTGCAGCCCGCCTGAGGAGGAAAGCACAGCCGAATGGAGATAGAGCCATGGTCCCACCTCCTGGATAGTCAGACCATGTTGGGAGCTATTCAGCGAGACAGCTACGGATACCAGACTTTCCTCACGAACAGGGTTGGTGAAATTCAGAAGGCTGGATCTTTTAAGGACTGGTGGTGGAACCCAGGGGAGCTAAACATCTCTGATATTATAACAAGAGGAGCAACTCCTGAGGAAGAAATCAGCCGGAGTGATTGCAGCAGGTGCCAAGGAGGGCATAAATAAACTCCAAAGAAAGGCCTTCTCAGCAGCACTGACCAGAAGTCAAACAAACAGAGCACCAAGTAGCACACCACAAGATGATGAGGAACCTGAGAATCTTTTAACAATTCCAGAGACTACAGCTCTGATCCGGAGAGCTCCAGCTGGTTCAGCAATTAAGCAACTTGTTGAACCGAGAAGATAGAAGATTACTAGTCAGTCATTGCCTGGGTGTGGAGAGCTGCTACAAAATGGAAGATAAAGGGCTCAGCTAAGGCAAAGTGGGAGGTGATTCCTTCAAAGGAAGAGGCACGATCCAACAATTGAGTGAGAATGTATATGATTATTTAATATTGAATATTTGATTTTGATGTAATAATTTTGAGTTTATTAATGTAATTTTAAGAACAATTTGAAATGTTTAGTTGAGAGCTGCTGTCTTACACACTTCTCTGCGCTTCCATTAGAACAGTCACTCACCCAAAACCCCATAGAGACTGTCTGTGTCCCCTGACCACGGCGAGGCAGAAGTGGATCTTTTTGCCTCCCAGGCAACACCACACTGTCCCCTCTGGTTTTCTTTCAGGGAACCAAGTCCCCTAGGCCAAGATGCTCTGGCACACGCATGGCCCAGGCAACTGCTGTACGCTTTCCCGCCTCTGCCATTAATATTGCCAACACTGGACAGGGTGTCTGCAGCGGGACACGAGATACTGCTAACAGCCCCCAGATGGCCAGGAAGAGTATGGTTTCCAGAGTTTCACCAACTTCTACAGGGAGAGCCTTGGTGCCTTCCGGTGAGAATGGATCTCCTCTCACAGTTTGGCGACCAAATCTGGCACCCGAACCCATCTCGGCTGAAACTTCTCTGAAGGGCCAGAGCCATTGCTAGGGCTCTGTGAGCGAGCAGTGGTGCGGACTATTCACAGTTCCCGGGCACCCTCCACCAATGTGTTCTGTGCTAATAGGTGGAAGCTTTTTGCCAAGTGGTGCCAAGCTCAAAATCAGGAGCCAACACAATGCTCCATACCTGGTATACTCAGTTTTCTCCAGTCACTCCTTGATCCAGGCCACGCAGCCTCCACAATCAGGGCGTATATTGCCGCCATCTCATCTATGCAAAATAGAGTGGAGGGGGTGAAAATTGGATCCCACACTCTGGTGACCCGCTTCCTAAAGGGGGCTCAGCGATTGAGGCCTCCTCGGCGAAACCCAGTGCCCTCCTGGGACTTGCCCCTTGTTTTGCGTGCACTGGGCAAACCCCCATTTGAACCCCTGGGGGGTATAGAGTTGAACTGGCTGTCCGTGAAGACAGCCTTTCTCTTGGCCATTACGTCAGCAAAGCGGGTAAGAGAGCTACATGCCTTTTCCATAAACGGAGAGTGTCTGCATTGGCATCCAATGTACAGGAGTAACCTTATGTCCAAACCCCTTTTTTCTCCCAAAGACCTTTGTGTCCTCATACATCAACCATCCTCTTAGGCTGGCAGCCTTTGAACCCTGAGATCAGGGGTCTGAACTGGGGTTGAGCGCTGAGCTTTTGTGCCCTGTACGGGCACTTAGGATTTATCTTCAGAGGACCACCCAAATCGGGCAGTCAGACGCATTGTTTGTCTGTCATACAGGGCCAAGACGGGGCCTTGCCCCGTCCAAACAGCCGTTGTCAAGATGGATAGCCGAGACCATCGGCCATGCTTACAAGTGCAGTGGTCATCCAAGCCCTTACCACATAACCCAGTGGCTGCTGCGGTACTTCCTACACCTTTCACAGCATCCCTAACAGGCAGGTAACAATTCCTCCTGACTTTGTTGATATTAGCCATCCAGTTGCTGAAAGCACCGCCTCTGCCGGTCAGTAGAAACGAAATAGAATGGTTGCGTATGTAACCGCGGTTCTATGAGTTTCGGATGATCGCCAGAGCTCGGCAGTTACTCGGAATATCCACGAGAAGATTGCCAAGCGGTCACTTCCTGGGTGGGCCTGCCCTTTGTGCCGAGGCACAGGGCATACGTCACCCAGGTCACAGGTGACTTTGTTGATACAAACAGTCAACCTGCACATGTGTGCAATGGATATCCAGGTGCTGAAAGCACCGCCTCTGGCGGTCATCTGAGACTCGCAGAACCGTGGTTACATACGTTACCATGGTTTTTCCTTGCCCTTGTCTCCAAGGTCTTGCTCATGGTGGTACTGTTGGGTCTCTGTAAATAATGGTATAAGGAGTTCGGTCTAGACCTGCTCTATTTGAAAAGTATCCTGAGATAACTTCTGTTATGAATTGGCGCTATACAAATACAATTGAATTGAACTGAATTGAATTGAATCTGATTTAAGGACTAAACTTGATAAAAACTCTGAGAATTCAGATAGAAAAGTACGGTCCAGGAGCGCGGTACACTATAACAAACCGAACTGGCTGCAGTGTTTTCCAGGACGGTGAGAAAGACTAAGAACAAGGCTTTTAAATGAAATTTACCCCAAAAAATATTTGTAAAATACCAGAAAACTGTTAAATTTAATTATTGATAAACCAGTAAATTATTTGAAATATCTTACTAGAACGTGCAATAAGAAATACGAGTGAAAGTGAATTTGCTCTGGTTGTTTTCTTTGTGATGCGATCTGAGAGCAGTGTGATGGATCATTTCCCTTTAAAATGAGACACAGCAGTGAGCTGACAAAGCTCCGCCCCTGAATGACATCACCTGAGACCAACAAGGAAACAGGTTGTACCAGTTCAGTTCTCACTGAGGAGAGACACACAGACGGACAGACACACGGTAAGATTGACCTTCATTACAAATCTGTGACTTTAACTGAGGGAGGACATGGTGGTCTTTCAAACTTCTATCTTCTACTTTCTATTAACAGTCACACATTAAATGTATATAAAATGTAATTCACACATTGATGTATGTTTAATTGTAAACATAACGATTTATAATTATGATTAATAATTATATAATTATTATATATTATAATTATAATTCAATGATTATAATTCAAACATAAACATAATTTAAACCTCTTCAGAAAACTGACATTTTGTATCAGTGATCCGTTTGATCAGACCAGGATCAGAGCTCAATGACAATTGCATTTTCCTGTGACCACTACTGTATAAGAAAAGTTTACTTGTGCTTCGCCAGTTAAATGCTTTAAATGTTAAGCTACAGCGGTAGAAAATGTTCAGTTGCATTAGCAGTAACCGAAGTTGATACTGTTTGTTTATGCATTGTACTTTGGACTGCTTTATCATCAAGGTCCGGTAATGGTTCAAGCTCCAGGATGGATTGATACCGGCTGTCTGTGACCTGTCTTCAAACTCGGAAGCCGTAAGTTTTGTTTTACTGTTTCTATTGTAGGTTTGTCTGTTCAACTTGGTGTCAGCATGTGTCAGCAAGAGACAATGTGGCTAGCAGGACTAATGTAGTATTGAAGGACACACCCTAGAAGGCACATGGGTAAACTGTAATCTGATTACGTCTTTTTTCTGTGACTGTAATCCATGAGTTACCTTCTATTTTTAATATCCTGATCACAAAGCTCCATTACATCTAATCCATTACTCCCTTTAACTTTAATTTAAATGACTCACTGTCTTAAGACATACTACCACATACTAGTGCAGATTATTTCTAATTGCATCCACAACATTTATTTAAGTCAAAGAATTTCCACAATTTCCATAAAGTATCTGGTACAAGTGTATTTTGTAGTCCCTAGATTGACCTCAGACAAGCCTTTTTATTTTGATGGCACACATCATACATTTCTTAATGTAGACCACTAACAATACATGCTACAGTTACATATCAATCATTGCTGGATTCAGCACAGTCCTTTTTTTCTGGTTGGTGTTTGAGACTATCCCAGCCATAGCTACCTGGAAGTAAATGAATACTGTTTTCTTCCAACAGGTGGTTTCCTTCTGAATGCCTGAATAACATAAGTTACATTCAGTCTGTGCCACCTTCTGACTGGTGCCACGTGTACTCCTCCTCAGTGTCTTCTATAGTGAAGTACAATACTTAAAATAAAATTTACTCAAAGTGAATTTCAAAAAGTACACACAAAATGACTTACAGTAATGAGCAGAATTTATTACTTCCAACTTCAAGAGAAATGTCTGCCTCTTTAGCTGCTGAATGCTTCACTTTCTTTAGAAGTTAGTCTCTAATGGTGTCTTTTTACGGTGCTGGGTTTTAGAATGTTGTAGCTGATAACAGCTGAATGCTACTTAAAATGTGCTGATGTGATCAGTGAGACAATCAAAGTTGGGGGCCACAAAACCAAAATACTGAGCTGAAAGACACAAAAACACTCCATCAAGCTGAGGAGAACTGTACCTTTAGCTCACATCCCTTAAAGGTCCAGTGTGTAACATTTAGAAGGATCTATTGTCAGAAATGGAATATAATATTCATAGATAGGTAGGTTTTAATAGGCGTTCAATATTCATAGGTAGGTAGGTTTTAATTAGCGTCCAATCACCTAAATATAGGAATTGTTGCATTTTTGTTACCTTATAATGAGCTGTTTTTAACTACAGGAGGGCAGGTCCCTCCAAAGAGGCTGCCATCTTGAACCACCTGGTTTCTAAAGTAGCCCAGATGAGAGACTAACATCAAAACCCAAAGATAAAGGCAGAAAATGCTCAAATTTGAGAAGGTGAAACAAGTCAAAATTTTTGATTTTTCCTTAATAATGGACGTCGATGATTAATCAAAATGTTAGTGATTCTCTGCAACAACAAATTGGCTGACTGGCAAATGTTAAAGGGGAACTCTGGCAGATTTTTACCCAAGTCTTGATCGCTAGATGTCACCGAGTACTGTCGATAGAAAAAACAACGACCAAAACCGGTGCTGGCAAACTGGAGTTCTTGCAGCTAATGGCCAGAGCTCCCACTTAGCTAAAATACACTTCTTGGGGGCATAGCCTAGAGTGCCTTTTGCTCCTCTTAACAGACACAAAATGCAATTAAAATGTCTGTCCAACATGTTCAGGGCCCTTACATGACAACAACATGCGTTTTCTACTCATTTAAATTCAAAGTTTACAAGTCCTGTCACCTACCTGTTTCTCCATCACTCGCTTCACCAAAAGCCCAGAAGAGTCGATCACGGAGGTCATACCTTTGCGACGAAAACTTTTCCCCCTCAAAAATGTCAATGTCTTCACAGGCTACGCTCCTCCGATCCCTACAACTTCCTGCAACAACTGAATTCCCACGGGACTTAAAAGTTTTCATGTGCGCATACTCGAAAGCTGCATGCTGCCTGTTGCGTTGCTCCAGCCTTTGAGTTCGCGTTTTTTAACTTTCTTAACTTTTATTCTTTTGTTCGTTCTTGTTTCTTCACTGTAACTCTGTGAAGTCCTGTCCTCTCTAACAAGGTCGTTTTCAGAGAGTTTTCGTGCTTTTCTACGTGTTGTTTTTATTATGCCGCTTCCACTGGGACACGCCGCCTTTATTCACTCCAGAGAACAGCTGATCGCGCTAATTCCGGCTGGCGTAGTGGCCAGACCAGAGAAAAACACACCGGGGGATGCAGAGGAGGGAAGCAACGTCTGTGAATGAGAGGAGCGTCGAGACGGGACGGGCTTATGGAGAGGGTCCCTTTGCGGAGTACCGTGAGTGCAGTCTGATGTGTTTATAATAATAATAATAATAATACATTTTATTTATAAGCGCTTTTCTAAATACTCAAAGACACTTTACATAAAAAAAAAAAAAAACAAAACATAAAAGCAGCCAAACAACATCAAATAGTAAAACATTAAAACACATCAGACTTAGCTAAACATTAAAGCAATTTTAAAAAGGTGAGTTTTTGTCAGTGATTTGAATGTTGGAAGGTCGGTACAGTCACGGATGTGTTTGGGGAGAGAGTTCCAGAGGGAGGGCAGCTACAGAGAACGCTCTGTCGCCCCCAGGTTCGGTGCTTGGTCCGGGGGTGGAGGAGTCAGGAGGTTTGCTTCAGATGAGCGGAGGCTGCGGGATGGATTGTGGCGATGGAGCAGGTCAGTGAGGTAGGAAGGAGCCTGGTTATGGAGGGCTTTGTGTGTAAGGAGGAGGATTTTGAACTGAATGCGCTGTGGAACTGGGAGCCAGTGGAGGTTCTGGAGGACGGGAGTGATGTGATCACGGGTGCGGGTGTGGGTGAGCATACGTGCAGCGGAGTTTTGAATGTACTGTAGCTTATTTAGAGTTTTGGATGGTGTGCCATAGAGGATGCTGTTGCAGTAGTCGATTCTGGAGGTGATGAAGGCGTGGATGAGGGGTTTCAGCAGCAGAGAAGGAGAGTGATGGGCGAAGACGGGCAATGTTCTTGAGATGAAAGAAGGCAGTTCTCGTGATTTGGTTTATGTGATGTTCAAAGGAGAGGTTATTGTCAAAGATGACTCCGAGGTTGCGACTGTGGGGGGATGGAGACAGGGTGGAGTTGTCAATGGTGAGGTGGAAACTGTCTGTGGTTTTGGTGAGGGATTTGGGGCCGATAATGATGAGGTCTGATTTGTCACAGTTGAGTTTGAGAAAGTTGGAATGCATCCAGGATTTGATGTCGGTGAGGCAGTTGGAGAGAGTGGAGTGAGTGGCCGGGTGATGGATTTGGTAGAGATATAAAGCTGGACGGCATAACAGTGGAAGTGGAGACCATGGTGGCGAATGATGTTGCCAATGGGTAGCAGGTAGAGTATGAAGAGGAGAGGACCAAGCACCGAACCCTGGGAGACGCCTTGGGACAGGGGAGCAGTGGAGGAGGTGCAGTTGTTGATATGGATAAATTGTTGTCGGTCTGTGAGGTAAGATTTGAGCCAGGGAAAGTGCAGTGCCAGTGATGCTGAGAGGACTCAAGACGGGAGAGGAGAATGTTATGGTTGATGGTGTCAAAGGCTGCAGTGAGGTCCAGGAGGATAAGGATGGTGAGGTGGCCGGAGTCAGCGGAGAGGAGGATGTCGTTGGTGACTTTCAGGAGGGCTGTTTCGGTGCTGTGTTGGGAGGCGGAAACCGGATTGAAATGGTTCGAACAGTTCATTTGAGCAGAGGTGGGTTTTGAGTTGTGTGGCGACAATACGTTCCAGTATTTTGGACAGAAAAGGAAGATTGGAGATGGGCGAAAAGTTAGACATGATGTCAGGGTTGAGTCCAGGTTTTTTGAGGATGGGAGTGACAGCAGCCAATTTGAGTGAGCGGGGGACTGAGCCGGACTTGAGAGAGGAGTTGATGATTTCTGTGATGAGTGTGGAGATGGCTGGTAAAGAGTCCTTGATGAGGTGAGATGGGATAGGATCCAGGACACATGTAGTGGTTTTCATGCCTGTCATGATTTTGGGCAGCTCCCCTGGTGACACGGGGCAGAACTGAGACAGAGGCTGAGAGGCGAAGGGGGGAGGAGCAGATGAAGGAGTGGGATTGCAGGCTGTGGGGGCAGGAGCGGGGGGACAAATTGTTATAAATGGTGTCGATTTTTGATTGAAAGAATGAAAGAAAGGAGTTGCATTTGTCAGTGGTGAATGACTTGGAGGTATTGTCGCTGGGCTTGAGGAGTTTATTTACTGTAGAAAACAGAGCCTTGGGGTTGGTGGAGCCAGCGTGAATGAGGTGAGAGTAGTAGGTGGACCGGGTGGTGTTGAGGGCATCCTTGTACTGCAGGAGGTAGTCTGTAAAAGTTTGGAGATGAACAGTTAAACCGGTTTTCTTGTAAAGTCTTTCAAGTTGTCGTTTGCGTGACTTCATTTTGTGCAGTTCAGAAGTGTACCAGGGGGGCAGAGTGGGTGAATGAGACGGTTTTGGTTTTAATGGGGGCCAGCTGATGGAGACAGGAGGAGAGTGTTTCGTTGTAGAACTTGGTGAGGTCAGAGGGGTTGTCAGTCAGCGGTGGGGGGAGGAAGATATTTTACTTGCAAGAGAGGTAGTAAGAGCTGAAGGGGGGAGATGGATTTGAGGTTTCTGAAAGATATTGTCCGTTTATCCTTAATGGTGGGAATGGGGATGTCAATGTCTGTGATGATTGCCAGGTGGTCGGAGATGTTGAGGTTGAGGCTGGAGAGGTGATGTAAGGTGAGACCAGTGGAGCAGACAAGATCCAGGATGTGACCACGGCTGTGGGTGGGAAAGTTGACGTGTTGGGTGAAGTTGAAGCAGTGTAGTAGTTCCAGAAATTCAGTGGCAGATTTGCAGTCATTGTCAATGTGGATGTTGAAATCTCCCAGAAGAAGAACGGAAGGTGAGATGAGTTAGAAAGTCAGAGAAGTCGGTGAGAAAGGAGGGGTTTGGTTTGGGGGGCGGTAGATGATGGCAGTGACCAGAGGAGTGGGACCAGAGAGTTTGAAAGTGAGGTGTTCAAAGGAGTGAGCAGCAGGGATGGAGATGGTGGATGTTTTGATGTCGTTCCTGTAGATTGCTGCTACACCACCTCCCCGCCCCTCAGGTCGGGGTTTGTCAATGTAAGTGTATCTGGTGGGTGTGGTCTGGTTGAGCAAAAAGTAGTCCAGAGGTTTGTGCCAGGTTTCAGTGATACAGAGGAAATCCAGGTTATTGTCAGTTATGAATTCATTCAGAATGAGACTTTTATTGTTAAGTGAGCGGGTGTTGAGCAAAGCCAGTTTCAGGTGACGTTGCTTCGTGAAGGGTTGAGAGGACCGAGGAAGGGGGCGGAGATTAGATAGGTGCACATGTCGTTGTTGTGATGACGTAATGAGGAAGTTGCGGTGCGTGAGCAGGACCAGATGGATGGGATAGAGTTAGGAGTTGAACAGTTGTAAATGAACATGCGACCAGAGCCTCTGTGTGGAGGACGGCGAAGTAGTCCAGTTTCACAGAGGATGTCGGTGCAGTCCGGGCGCTGATGGTTGTTGAGTGAATGGAGGACGGAGATGGAGTACAGCGGCGGCATGATCCAGGTGTGGAGCGCTAGCACGGAGCTAGTGCTAGCTTGTGACCATGAGCCAGGTGTCTGTGGACGGAGCCGTATCATGTACTCCAGAAGAATCCACAGGGTGATCCACAGCATAACAGCAGCAGGCGATCTGTGGTCCGATGATGAGGCGATGAGGAGAGTGGCCCCCGGCCTGCTAACCTAGAGGACCCGGTGATAAGAGGAGGTCGTCAGCTCGATGCGGTGGTGGCCAGCGGAGGAAGCCAGCCGGAGCCCGACAGAACCGACCACACCGGGACGGAAAGATCCCGGGAGGACGGGATAATCCGATGAGGAAGAGAGGGGCCGCCGGCCTGCTAGCCAGGGGGTCCAGGTAGGGAGAGGAGGTTGTCAGCCTGATGCGGTGGTGGCCAGCGGATGAAGCCAAAGCCAAAGCCCAGTAAAGCCGACCACACCGGGATGGAAAGATCCTGGCAGGACGGGCAGGTGGGCTCGAGCTGGCAGAGAAGATGGCAGGGAAAGACCGCAGGAATGGCCACCCCTGTGGCAGGGCGATGAGGCTATGCCGAAGTCCCGGGGATCCTGTAGCTAGCAGGAGCTAGCAGGACGGTGGGAGGACTTCACAGGTACGAAGCAGATAGATAGCAGTGAATCTGTTTGCTCTCCAATTTCAGAGGACTGCCAAACCAGACTATCTGGTGTGGTGAGGCGTAGGTCAAGAGACAAAAACTTTATCGTAGACTATTGTCGGAGACGGAGCGGCAGCCAAGGTGCGCCAGCATCCGCCATGTTCTCACCAATAATCCCTTGTTTCACTGAGACATGGCTGCACAGGGACATTACGGACCAGATCGTCTCCGTGGATGGCTTCCACACCGTGGATGGCTTCCACAAGTCCCGTGGGAATTCAGTTGTTGCAGGAAGTTGTAGGGTGCAGATCGTAGCATAGCATGTAAAGACATTGACATTTTTGAGGGAGAAATAAACAAAGGCATGACCTCCGTGATCGACTCTTCTGGGCTTACGGTGAAGCGCGCAATGGAAAAACAGGTAGGTGACAGCACTTGTAAACTTTGAATTTAAACGGTTTCTGCACAATGTATGAGTTGAAAACGCATGTTGTTGTCACGTAAGGGCCCTGATCATGTTGCAAAGACATTTTAATTGCATTTTGTATCTGTTAAGAGGAGCAAGAGGCACTCTTTAGGTTATGAAGAAGTGTATTTTAGCTAAGTGGGAGCTCTGGCCATTAGCTGCAAGAACTCCAGTTTGCCAGCACCGGTTTTGGTCGTTGTTTTTCCTATCGACAGTACTCATGACATCTAGCGATCAAGACTTGGGTAAAAATCTGCCGGAGTTCCCCTTTAATATGTTGTCAGACTAAATGAATTAAGAGGGTTCAGGGTCTGGAGTCTGATTTTACATTTTTTACAACTTTGACATCTTCATAAGGCAATTTGCCATATGTTCTTACTTTTCCTTTATATACTGTTTAAATTTTAGCTGATCCGAAATGAAACGCTCAACAGAGCCAGCTCCTCCGATTGAAACATGGACCAAAGCAGATGTCCACAGGTGGCTGATGACAGAGGTCAAAGTTCATGAGACTTGTGCTAACAGATTCTCTGAAGAGGAAGTGTCAGGAGACTCTTTAGTTGACTTTGAGAAGACAGACATATTGGACTTGGGAATTAAACATGGCCCTGCTGTCAAAATTACATCCTACTTAGAAAGTCTGAAAGAAGGTTTACCGCATGAATCACAGTTCCCAGCATATGTAGAAAACTGGACCAAGGAGCAAGTGAACCAGTGGTTACTGCAGCATGTGAACATATATAGCAAATATGCAGAAAGGCTTCAAGAGGAAGATGTGTCAGGGGATTGCCTTGTGTGCTTCAAGAAGCAGGATCTTCTGGATCTGGATGTAAAAAGTGGTCCTGCAGTAAAGATTCTGGCAGAACTTCGTAAGCTGAACAAGAAACCAGAGCCAACACTGCAACCCATTCTTCACACCAAAACGGACCAAAAAGAGGCTCCAAAAACCATTCAACCTGAGCAGAGTCTGGCTCAGGCCATAGCAACCATACAACCAGAATCTTACAACAAAACTAAATCAAAAACAGACAGATCAGTGGAAAATGAGACTCAGCCATTCAAGAAAGCTTCAGAGAAGCAGCCAAAGCCAGAGAACCTGGAAGCCAGGAGAAAAGAAACCAGGCCGGTAAGATGTTTTATTAATCACAGAATAAAATAAATGATTGTATCCAGCCTGTTAATGGAGCCTTTTGATATGAAGCAAACTATTTTGTTAGTTCACTTTTAGAACGCATAAAGCCATAACATTCAGGATGTTTAGAAACTATAGACAGTGAATAAAGTGTTAAGTCTACACTAAATATTTACTTGTTTGTTCCTGCAGACCACAGTCCTACCAGATACACCTAAGAGCACTGTGGAGATCCAGGAAACCCTAGAAAACCTTTCAAAAGATGACCTAAAAAAGTTTCAATTTAATTTAAAAGAATATAGAACATCCAAGTATAAACCTATTTCTCGGAGTAGAGTGGAGGGCAGGGACACTATGGACACTGCTCAGTTAATGACTGACCACTATGGAAGCAAGGACGCTCTGCGAGTCACAACAGACATTCTGATGGGAATACAGCAGAATGAGCTTGCTGGTCAACTGAAAAAGAACATGGGTAAGACAAACAATGACGTAAACATTTTTTTCCCCCAATAATCTGCATAATTTTCTAATGTTTTCTATCCTAGCTTGCTGACACAAGTATTTGTGATTACTATATCCACAAAGTAATTTCCCCCTGGGATTATTAAAGTATTTCTGATTCTCATTCTGAAATTACAAAAACCAAAACTATTCACTCAAACAATTAATTGGTCTTGCACACACTAAAGTTGTGCAGTGGACAGGACACAAAAGAAAAAAGTCGACAATCAACTATCTTCAAGCCAACAACCAAAAGCGTCATTACATCTTTCTTGAAATATTTTTTAGGGGGGTTTATTGCCTCTGATCGATAGTAACAGCTGAAGAAGAAGAGTGACAGTAAAGGGGGGAGAGAGAGGGGATGACACGCAGCAAAGAAGCACAGGTTAGAGTCAAACCCATGGCCACTGCAGCAAGAACTCAGCCTTAGTACATGCGGTGCCACCTCTACCAGGTGAGCCATGAGGGCGCCCCTTCACTCATTATTTTCATGTCAGGAATATTTATTTTATTAACATTTTAGATTTGTTTCCAGTGAGATTGAGATATTAGTTCCCATAGTGACTTTGCAGTTGTGTAAACATTACAGTTGCTGCTCTAGAACCAACAGTTTTATTAAAAATATTAAATTCTTATCTAGTTCTGAATTTAAAGACAACCAGGCTGACATAAGAACTGTATAGCTAATATGCACTCTTCACTATTTCTTTATTTATCAAGAATCATACTGTCATCACCATATTGAACATTGTTATTGCACATAGCAGATTTTGCTCATATCATGCAGGCATACCAGTGAGCCACACTGCTGCACCGAGTGACATATTGCTTCATTTCCATGTACACACACAGTTTATTTTGAGTCAATCCCACATACACCATCCTGCTGCCCGAAATACTCACCAGAGCACCAAATGTGGATTCATCCATCACTGAAAACAGTCCCCAACAAATGCTTTGTTTCCTGCTATTTGTTTGACAAAACATCAAATAATGTGGCCAGCTGTTTTAGGAAATCACGGAACCTTTTTAAAACTTAATTGTATTGTTCATACAGGTCAAGAGGAGCAGCAGAATCTTTCAAAAGGAGTTTTGAAGAAAGAAGCTAACCAGGGTGACAAACTAAAGAATTTGTTAACTTGTGGTGGGAATTCACTGGATAACTATGACCGTTTTGTTGTTGTTATGAACAAGAGCAGTCCAGAACAAGTGCAGTATCTCCAGTTTTTGAATAAGCTGAAACTGTTTTGTGTGTTAGACTTTGACCCCAACTCTAGTTCTCCAGGGGAGTGTGTCATTCCTACAGAGAGTCAAGGGTGGCCAATCTACATACCCCATCACAGTATCAAGGACAGACTGACTCTGTGATAAAAAACCTTAACCTCTACCAACAGACCAGCTGGGTCTTCTGCAATGGTAGACAAGACCTTGACAGCGACTCGAACAAGGAGTTAGATTATAAGAACTGGCTGAGGAAATCTTGCATAGATGTAGAGCAGTTAGTTTCATTCATTTGCAACCCGAACGTTCTTCTCCATGGAAGAAGGCACATCATTTTCCTCCTACTTTCACCTGTGGAAACTGAGAAAGACCCAGTCTTTGACACCTTCAGGTGTTTCATAAAACACAAGGAAGAGGAAAACATCATCACCGTTTGTGAACTTCCGAATAAATATTTCAAATGGAGGAAGATGATACAAGAAAAGTGTGATTTTGACATTGACCACCTATCCATATATGAACTAACCTTAAGTGAGATCAATGGCACTATAATGGCACTGGGACCATTCAGTCAGTCATCTGGAAGGTTGCTTCCCTCTTCTGGATCCAGCGCTGTTGTCCTGAAACAGAAGGATGAAGATTTAATGACTGCCCTGGATATCTTATGTCTTAATCAATGTCAAAACATTTATGATGAAAACAGTCCAGAGTTTCATAACATCAGAATCAAAGTTGAGGAAGAATTCTACAGAGGGGGAAAAGTCAAATGGTGGAACTTCTACTTCTGTGACAAAGACAAAGAGAAGCCATTTGTAAAGCGGGACAAGTATGAAAATGTGAAGAAGATGATCAGAAATCAGTTGAGAGATTCAAAAAACATTTGTGCTCTGCTCACTCTGTTTCATCATCCAGGCTGTGGTGGTACAACCTTAGCAAAGAATTTGATGTGGGATCTCCGTAAAGAGTTCAGATGTGCTGTGCTGAAAGACAACACACTGCCAAAGATGGAAGTTGCCATCCAAGTCAGAAGGCTCATGAAACTTGAAAGTGAGACACCATCTCCTGTTTTACTGTTAGTTGATGATTCAAAAGAAACAGAGAATCCCCACGATTTTGTGAACTGCATACATAGAGCTGCATTAGAGGATAGCTTACACATAAATGTGGATGAGGGCCCAAACTGCAAAGTCATCATTCTTAACTGTGTTCGTTCCCATAGCCCAAAGGAGCAATACAGAAAGCTCAAAACAGCACAATGTCAATACTTAGAAGCTTCATTGACACCAGAAGAACAGAAGGAGTTTAAAAAGAAACTCAATGAGCTCAAAGAAACTCATGAAAAACCTGAAAACTTTTACAGCTTCATGTTCTTGAAAAGCAATTTTGATGAAGTATACATCAAAGATCTTGCTCGTAACACACTGGAGAACTTTGATTTCAGCTCAAAGAAGGCCAAACTGTTTGCCTTTCTAGCCTTACTTAACAACCATGTAGCAGAATCTGAGATCTCTCTCTCACTCTGTGAAGACTTTTTAGGACTGAACATGATTCAGAGGCAAGAGGACAGTGTGTTGGACAAAATGAATCCATATTCAAACTTTCTCATCATAGACACAGTTGAACAACTGGGAGGATACAAAGGAATCCGAATCCTTCATAAAGCCATAGCACCTGCATGTCTGGAAGAGTTGGAGAAAAGGTACAACTTGAAAGTAAGTGATATCACTATGGAGCTCCTTCACTGTGATCTGTTCTTCAGAGTTGGAGTTGTCAAAAGCCGATTCATGCCCCCAATTAAACAAATGTTGATAGAAAGGCAGTGCAGGAAAGTCAAGTCAAGTCAAGTCAAGTCAACTTTATTGTCAAATAAAGAAGGAGATGAGAGAGAACCATTTTCTCCTCTCGTAGACAAAATTCACAACCAGCAAGGGAGACAAACTGTCCAAGAAATCTTTGTGAAAGCATCATCCAGGTTTGTGACAAGTTCATCTATTCCTCAGGCTCTGGCAAGATACCTGTACATCAAAGACCGTGACTTCCCGGAAGCTCTAAAATGGGCTGAAAAAGCCAAGAACATTAAAGAAAATCCATACACATATGACACAATTGGACAGATTCACAAAAGTAAATTAAAATCTAACATCGACAGAGAAAAGCAGGAGACATCACACAATCCAGAAGACTTGAACACAAACATTAAGATAGCAGATAATGCTATCGCAGCATTTAAAAGGGCTCAAGAGCTGGCAAATACAGTGGATGAACTTGAGAAGGAAGCTGCTGTTGACGATGAGTTGGATGACTATCCCAGAAATTCATACAATGTTTACGGCTATGTGGGTATGCTGGAAATTATTTTCCTGGTCTTTGAGATATTGAGCAGATTGCCGTTCTTTGAAGAAAGCAATCCAATGAAGAAGAGGTACTTGCAGAGTTTTCTGAAAGAAACAATCTCAATCACTAGCATGTATGAGGAAGGCAATGAGATCAACAACAGATACGTGGAGATCATCAAAGAATATGAACATTTTCTTCTCGGTTTGAAAACTGAAGCAAAAGAAACCTTTGAAATTCTCGACAGTTACTTCATGTATATAAAACCCAACAATTCTGAATTTGATTCAAAGAATCGTTGGACTGTCTGTGAGCTTTTCAAGAAGTACGTAACTCTGTTTTGTACTTCACCAGAGGAAATGAAAAAAGAAAGACAATACAATCCCAATCTCAATTTGAAAATTTATATTGAAGAACAAAGATTGTTTCTTGAGAAGAACCAAGCAGATACATTCACAGGTATTCTTCAGCATTTGGACAAACCTGCGGAAGAGATTGAGAGGATCACTGAGTGCTATGCATTCTTGCAACAACAACAACAATTTATCAACAAAAAACAAAAGACAAAGGAAACAGTAAATTACATTTTGTCAAACATAGTTCTTTATCTTCTGAAACCAAACTCTAAACATGTGAAGAGTCACAGTGACCTCTCTGCTCTGCTTTTGACAACTCTGCAAGATGTAGGACTTCACTATCCCTTCCCAGATCCATACTACCTGGCTCTGCTGTTATTCTGGCCTCCTGGGGAAAACACAGATATTGGGGCATATGTGAGAGCAATCCGAAACTCCTCTCACAAGCGCCTGACTTCATTGTTCAGAAACAGGAGCACAGTTGCCCACCTCTACTTGGGGAAAGCAATGGGACTCAAGAGACTTGTTTCTAAACCACAACTGGATGAGAATTTTAAAAAGATGCGCCGTGACACTTTGGCACAACTTTGGCGGAATGGAGACATATTTAAAGACATTGCAATTATCAACCGCCTCCATCGAGTCAGTGGAACCGTTGAGCAAGGAGAGGTGTTTGCCAATTATGGAACAATTAAAATCCCTGTACGCCCAGCTCTCATTGCTGGTATAAGAAGTGGTTACAGTACAGAAAAGGTGTCTTTCTACCTTGGTTTTGCCATTAATGGACCCCTCGCTTATGATATCCAGTATGAAAACTAGGATAGTAAATTAAAGAGGTGCTATACAAGCACTGAGATTTGAACTGTACAGAGTGACAACTAGGTGTGGCAGCCAATGACTCACTGTGGAATTTGAAACACACTTCATAAACACACAAGCAAATGATGAATAAGACAGATTGCAGACATCCTGTAGCTCTAGCTGTGTGTCTTATATTTTTGTATTTTAATAGAATTTCATCATTTAGAAACATTTGTTATCTACTTTCTGAGAGGTTTTTGCTTTTTTGTTTTTGTTGTCTGTTGCAGATGTGGCATATTCAAGTGTGTCCTTTTCATTTACCTAGGTAGCTGGTACAAAGAAGTGCAACATAAGCACAGACATTAACTCTACAGAGTGAAAATAAGGTGTGGTGGCCAGTAAACATACCAGCCACAAAAACCCATGAGCAAACGATAAACAATACATATTGCAATAATAATAGTAATCATGTAGTATTAGCTATGTGTGTATGTTTTTTATATTTTTTTAATGTCTTTAATCTTTTATAAACATTTTTTATCTACTTTCTGATTGGTTTTTGTTTTGTTGTTTTGTTGTCTGTTGCAGATGTTGCACATTCACCAAGTGTGCCCCATTCCTTTACCTGCAAGTAAAAATATAACATAGTTAAGAGTACAAAAAAGTGCAACACATGCGCACGAGGCATGAAATGTAAGACAAACTGCAGGGTCAACTACAAATCCCGAAGCTATAGCTGTGTATGTTTTTTATTTGTCATTTAATCTTTGATAAACTTTTTTTTGGTTTTGTTTTGTACAAATGTAATAATACAGTTGTTAACAATAAAAATAAACGATGTCTTATTTTCTCAAATACATGGTTGATTCAAGGAGCCCTAGCGCTCCCAAATAGTAGTTGAGGAACATTGATCAACCACTCAATTGTTTTGTATTTAATGTTTTGTTTGACTTTACATTTTACAAGAAGCTTTATTGAACAATAAGAGTAGAGGTAAAAAGTGTGATTATTATCTTCTGTTGTGAGAGAAATGTGATTTATTGTTGTGGACATCAAATTTTCTATAAAGGACAATTTTATTTTAGTAATTACAGAAGTGAAGTAAATGGCTTGTCAGCTCTAAGTATATGTGTAATCATAAAATACGCAATAAAAAAAATACATGAGTGCACTTTTTTGTTGGGATTATTGTAACCTTAGCTCTGTAGACATTTGTAGTATGAAATCTGTGACACTTTCGTGTGGTCATTTACTATAAACAGTAGTATTTCCTTTTCCTCACATAAATCAAATAATGATCATTTCTTGTACCACAAAAAGTAAATCAAATCCCTTCTCTAGGGAGTGTGCAGCCTCACACACCTTCACGACTACTTTGATTGTCAGAGTGAGAGTAAAACAACCACTCCCAGAAACCTACCAACTGCTCGTAAACATTTGATAGAAATCTCTTCGTCATTCTACTCTCTGCTGCCTTCGGCTCTGTCCGGTTTTTAAATCTGAAAGTATGTAAC